TCTGGTGGATACATGCATGGTCAATAATCAACAGATATCGTAGTGGAATTTCTAACCTGGAAATTGACTTCAATCTCCCAAAAGTTTGAAGAACGTTCGGAGCAATAGTTGCAGTTGTGGCACTTTGTGCCGTATACTTGTTCGCCTTCAAACTGAGATCATCAATAAGTCATTAGCAGAGGACAAATGAGAAGCCATACTTGAGCATTCACTAGAGATTGCAGGGCTGGATCCGGTTGTTTCTTGAACTCGGCATCTAAATGGGTCATGAACAGCTTGGAAAATCTAGCAGATGTTAAGAGAGAGAAGCGCCATAGAGCTCTGGATCTGCGTACTCTTGCGCATCCTGCTGTTCGGCAGCGCGTAGTTGAAGGCTCTCCACTAGTTTAGAAGGGTTGAACACGTTCTGTATACTTTCTTGCAGTGCTGCGAAAGTGACTTGTAATTGAAAGATGGGTGAGTCCTGAAAAGGAAATAAGAACATGTCCCCAGCCTTGGAATAGCAGGATGTTTACCATGAATTTCGACTCTGACTCTAAAGGCTGGCAACTGTAGACGCCACTTGTGAAGTTGGAAGATCTAAACCACACCTAGTGGGCATTAATAATATTCGACCCTCTGGCCTGAAAGAGCTTACTTGAAGCGAAGCATTGGCATAACAAGTTGCGCCGAGGTTCTGGGTTGGAAAGGTCAGCAAGGTCGGATATTGAAAACAAATACTGCAAATCTCTCACCTTTAACCCGACCGGTATATCTGGATCTTTTGCGAGCAGTATCGGATTTTCACCAAGTTGTGCGACTGGGAGGAAATTATCTATGGCTAAATCTGTTTCAAGTGTGAGTAAACTGAGAAGAAGTGAAACCTTTAATCCGGTCAGACCTTCGTCTTCCCATTTATCCTGGCCCAGATAGTTCAGACAGTTCGGATTAGCTCGACAAGACCTTTTGCTGCAGACATGTCCCTCATCTTCCCCGTCTGATATTACAATCACATCGTCAGGAGTCTCTTCGTTTGTTTCGCTGGTAGCAGGTTCGGTAAACTGATCTCTACGTGATTTTGACTTGTATTTGGTTCGGCAGAAAGGGTGATTATTTCTCCTCGAAAGGCCGCACGTGGCGAGTAGATGGTCGCGTGTTATCGAGGATGAGCTGGTCGCTTCTGTGCCAACCCAACCCCAAGAGTTCAGAACTTGTCGACGAAGAATTTGACCGGCTACAAGCCCTTTGGAAGATGGTGAGGCCTCTCTAGTGCGTTTTGCCATTCCGGCCGCAAGAAAGATCAAGAAGATAATGGAAGTTATGAAGAAAGAAAAGACGTGAATAAGTTTGCGATCAAGTGACTTGTGACACTATTTGTAATCGTGATTAACTTGTCTACTATTTACTCGACGGGTGAGCAGACAAGCTTGTGTTAACAGGTCGCTCAGTGCTAGCGGAAGTCTCGACGGACCACTAGTAACAATACGAACTTATCGTTGATACCAACATCGTATACCAACGCCTTCGACGCCCTTAACATCTGAAATAAACATCTTTCGGTCGCTCACAAATGGCAACCACGAGCAAACAATATCTTACTCGGGGCGAAGAACTATGGAAAGGAAGATCAGAGAAGGTGGTAAGTTCAGCGTCGTCTATTTCGTTGCTCTATCTATAATGTTATCAAAATCTAATCTCCGGAATCGCAGTCATCCGAATTGTTCGCGCTAACCTACGGCGCCCTCGTCGTTCAACTCATACAAGACTATGACGCCGACTATGCCCAGGTGAATACTCAGCTCGAGAAAATGGGATGGGCCATAGGCACAAGATTGATCGAGGATTTTTTGGCGAAAAGTGGGAATATGAGTAATATGGGGGGAGGTATAGGTAATTTGGGAGGAGGGGGAACTGGAATAGGTGGGGGATTTACCGGTGGAGTAGGCAAATGTGCAGATTTTAGAGAGACAGGCGAAGTTGTCGCAAAGGTATGTAGAATATTCGATTTTTGTTCTTGATAAATTGGTTTCCATTCGGGGATTCCGTACCAAGTTTCGTCATCCTTACTTCTTCATTCTTCATTTCTCCACAGGTTGGGTTCAAATCATTCCTCAATATCACGCCTACCATCACACACCAATCTCCCGGTAGTTCTACTAGTGGCGTTGGCAGACCTGCCAGTCTGCCTCCAGTAGATCCCACTAACCCAAATCTGAACTCGAACGCCACATCCTCAAAAAACACCGCAAATTCATCTAACGCGAACAACAACACCCCTTCGTGGACCCTAACCTTTGACGAAAATCCACTCGCTGAATTCGTAGAGCTGCCGGAGGAAGCTCTTGAGGGTGGTTTATGGTTTAGTAATGTGTTGTGTGGGGTTGTAAGAGGGTCTTTGGAGATGGTACGTCGGAGGGTTCTAAACCCTCGCTTTCGTTTCCTTTTTTATTTAAATTATTACGATTTCACAGGTCCAAATGCAAGTCACAGCCGAGTTCATTTCTGATGTTCTCCGAGGAGACGAAAATACAGTAATGAGTGTTAGATTGGTCAAGTTTTTGGAGGAGGAAGTACCTGTTGGGGATGATTGAATGACTAGACTTGGCTTCCGAAAAGTTTGCGCATATATGAATACGAAGCAAATAATCAATTTCATCCCTCAATTGCTGGTCAGTTCGGTCTACATCTTTCTGTTTAGAATCGTGTCTTCCTCGCTCCTCTGTTCTTTCCATTCCAGGCCCGTAATTTCATCCTGGGTACTCAAAGAAATGCCCTCTTGACAGTCTGCTTCATTCTCGTTGTCAATTTCCTCCGCAAGTTATTCTCTGTGACCAACTTACTGTTTTCATAGTAACATGCTTCGCTTGTGTTTTGTAACTTACTCGATCGCGTGAAACGCCAAGCAAGTGTCGAGACAGATATTGTAGGTCAAATTACGAGTATTGATAGTGCCATAAACACATTCCTGACCGCTAGTGTATCCATCCTGTCAATGCTAGTAAGTTGAACCTCGTTCTGCAAAATCTTCCAACGTCGTTTACTGTTTTCGGCACATTCGTTTTCAAGCGACCTCTTTAGTGTCTCCGCTGCTCTACTAGTGATTCGGATGGGGTTGAACTTTTCCCCCCTCCTCCTCCTGTTCCTCCCCCTAGCGGACCCAAATGACTAATTGGTATGCAATTTCCAGAAGCCGTGGTGGTAGCATCCGATAAAACTTGGAAACCTCCCTTTGATGTTTTGTTCTCGAGTGTGATTCCTTTGAGTCCAGTCATTCGAGGGTTGACTTGACATGACTCAGGCACTGCTCATTCTCCATTCCACGTTATCGTTGAGGTCAAGTTGGCTTTTCACTTCCCAACTCGAAATGTCAAGGTCTATCTACTGGTAGACTCAATAATGGAAACTGATGCATGATGATGTATTTACGGGCTCGTCAGAACAGGATGTAAAATTATAAGAAACAGATTTTCCCAAAAGATGAACTTTATATCACCTCTTATCCCATTCGAACGCGACCTGCGCATGCATGTCTAGCCACGCACAGGTGCCACGCTCTAACAACTGAGCCAAAGAGACATGATAGGTGATTAGAAGCTCAAGTATTCATGTGTTCACAAGCTCAGAAGGATAGAATGGTGAATATCAAGATATTTAGATACTTTGTACTGATTTCGCCTCTCAGCCCCACCTATCAACCCTATTCATCTTCTTCGCCGTCTTTGCATTACTCCTCGTGTTCTGTCCCCTAACAGGCATACCCATTGCATGTCTTCTTCCAACATACGAACCAATCATACGTTGATGAGCAATATTGTCTCTGACGAGACGACGGAGAGCAGTTTCGATGGTCAAGTTTGCAAGGGGGTCTAAGGATTTCGGAGGGAGTTTAGGTTGCACGGGTTTGGACTTGGTGGTGGTAGTGCGACCGTTGACAGTGGTTCCGGTTCTGGTTTTGAAGGTGGCTTTGTGTTTGGCGAGAGCAGCGATGACTTTTGTACGCATACGTCCACGCAATCTCGTCAACATCTTCTCTTCCTTCTCCTTTGCCTTTTTCTCCTTCTCTGCCAAATATTCCTCACGTTCGCGTTCACGCGCTGCTCTGTCCCTTTCTCGTTGTTCCTTAGCTTCTTTGACCTCGTTCTCCCACTCTCGCTCTAATTCTCGGTCACTCGTCCATCCACGGTTCAGCGGTCGTGGTTTGAACGCGAGGCTGGCGAGGGGATAGGTCTTGAGAATGTCTGTTACTCCTAGGTCGTCTTTCTTATTCGCAACTGCAGACCTGTTAGTTTGTAGACCAAGGAATGTAGAAAAGAACAGACCGAAAGCCCGTGGACCACCCTTTGCACTCGTAGCACCCCTCGGTGGAAAGGCACTTTGAGGCGAACTGAGGAACGAGGCGAGGGCAGTTACCTGGAACGGCGAGAGATCTCGGATTCGACAGGTGTCATGAATTTGAAAACGGGCACAGAGTCGATGTGAGGTCGAGTGCCCAACGCCATAAATTGTGGTCAGGGCAAACTGGACGGAAAATGAAACCAAGGCAAAATTAAACGGAAAAAGACAGGACACGTACACGAGCTAACTGATTATCAGGTAAATTGATACCAAGAATATGGACCATTATTGATACTTTTTCGACGTTGGGCTCTTGGTTGGGCTTTTGTTATGCCTCACCCGACGTTATGAGGGACGCGTTGTCTCGTGCGTACAATGTGCACCAGGCTGTGTGATTGTGACGCAAGTCAGAAAAGTGCCAGTCACTCTACTATCTAGTTTGCAATTGGGGTGAGCGGGTGATGAAAAGAAACCAAGATGAGAAAATGTGATCGTGCGAATAATCTGCTCCTTACCGTCCCGCTCGTTCCAAAATCGTTTCTCAGATACTAAGTACTTGTAATCCTACAAGAGTATATTCTTATATAAATAGTATTGGTAAAGAACGCTTGAATAAAAATATCCACACAACTAAAAAAGACGTTATAATTCTTTATATGGCCAATACCAGCGTATTTTTCCTCCTGGCCTCTTTAGCTCATTAGTTAGAGCGTTGCATTTGTATACCAAAGTACACATGCATGCAAAGGTCGTTCGTTCAAATCGGATAAGGGATATTTGGAACCCTATGGCCCTAAGCTTCGAGGGATACACATTTGTGTTTTTTGACACATAGTACCAGCGTCACTTGGCTCATACAATCGAGGAAAAACACGGGAAGCACATTATTGACTGTTCGAGTTCTCTAGTTCAAACCACAAACCATGAGACGCGGAGAAATAAGACATATATACATTTCCTCCATGAACCATGTGCATGAACGTTTGAACGGAGAGGAGGTAGTCTTTGAAAAAAATACAGCAATGGCAACCAGGATCATGCCCACTAGCAGGTTCGAACTGCTGACCCTCGCATAGAGTAAGATAACCTCATAAGTACGAAGCTCTAAACCACTGAGCTAAGCGGGCGATATCGGATGGGGAGCCGAGCAGAAAAAGTCCCAGAGAGAATCAAGATGTGCTTGAAGAAAAAGAAAAGGATGAAGGAAAACTTCGATAACAGTAAATGGTACGCAAGAAGGTTACGATCGGTACGACTCCGGAATGGGAAGGTTCAATTACCGTGGGAAATCTATCAAGTTTGCTTTCTTAATATACCACCACCACTATCTCCACAAGTCCACCATGTCGTCCACTGATATCGGTCACAACCCGCACAATCGCGCCGAAGCATTGACTAAAGCGCGGTCATTGATGCTCGAAGATTTCGAGAGGCAGAAGAAGAATCTCATCAACGAGACTGAAAAGGCGAGACCTTCAAGTCATCGGTGGGTGTTCCAAGTATTTCATCAATTCACATCTAATGACTCCTGTAGCTTTGTAAATCCCTCAGATTCTGTCGAAGATTCCCTGAAAAACTCGACTGTTGGACTTGTTCATCTGGAAGAGTTCCAGCAAAAGCGTAAGGAGCTGGAAGAACAGAGAGCTAGGGAGGCTGCCAGGAGTGATAAAGTCAAGTGAGTGCATATGTGTTATACTTCATACCAGGAGGTTGTGATTATATCAATACTTGTTTGAGGACTAGTTTCCAATGATACTACAATCATTAAACAGAATCGCTATGAACCTTCCCTGTTCCATTTCTATGAACGGTTTTCTTCACTTTTGGAGACTAATGTTCATTGTCTTATCTTCCCTACATTTTGCTTTACGTCCCTTCACACCATTGACTATCCCTCCCTTCAGAGACTCCCTCAAGAAAACCAAAAAACGCAAAAAAGGAAACTCTAATTCAAAGGCAATGTTATCATTTGCTATGGATGATGAGGAATCTGGCGAACAGGTTCTACCTTCCACGAGCACAAGCAACAGCAATGGTGCCAACTCCTCTGATGACAATACGCATCCGGAAACTACTCCAACTCGTGGCGACGATGGCGACCAAGACTCGGATATGCCGCCTCCAAAGCGTTCAAAACGCAGCACAACGCCCACTTTAAAATCAAGGCCCAAGAAAAACCCGACAGTGGATACATCTTTCCTTCCGGATCGTTTACGTGAAGACGCTGAACGTGCGGAGCGGGAGCGACTGCGGTTAGAATGGCTGGCAAAGCAAGAAGAGATCAAGGCAGAGGAAATTGATGTAGTGTATAGTTATTGGGATGGCGGTGGGAGGAGGAGGAGTGTTAAGGTTTGTGTATTATACTGGGCGCTCGACTGCGTTTCTTTGTTTTCTTCGTGTCATACCGAACGAATGAATACTCATTCATTTTCCCCGTTTGCAGTGCAAAAAGGGCGATACTATAAGCTCTTTCCTTGAAAAATGTCGGGCGCAATTTACGGAATTGAGAGGTGTTAGTGTAGATAATTTGATGTATGTCAAGGTGAGATTTGTTTCTAATTTTTGTTACCTTTAGCGTTTGAGCTAGAGCTTTACGCGCTCTCTCTATGTTAATACCGTCCTTGTCGTTTCCTCCTTCGTTCTCCCTTTCGCTATCATCTCCTCACATGCTCTCCCCAATTTGGTTTTTTCTGTACGTTATTTGTCGTGTTTTTTCTTGCGTGGTATCCTTGCTATGCGTTCCCTCCCCTATGCTCGCCTTTTCCTTTTCTTCGCTTCTCCTTTGGGTTTTCCTCTTCATTACTGCGTTCTAGGCTTTGAATTTTCTCTAATCCCTTTCACCCCCAGGAAGACCTAATAATACCACACCATTACACGTTCTATGATTTTATCATCAACAAATCCCGGGGCAAATCCGGCCCGCTATTCAATTTCGACGTTCATGATGATGTGAGATTGCTGGCTGACGCTACGAAGGTAGGTTCCCATGTTTTTCTGACTACCGATAACGGATATGTTCACTGATGCCTGACTTCATGTTGAACATCTCATTTTTGTGCTCTTATACATACTCCTCCCTCCCATATTTTGCTCAACTTCTGTTTTCCCTTCAATCTCCGCTTCCGTCTCCTTTCCTTACTCTTGACCTTCTTCGCCCAAAACAGGAGAAAGATGAATCTCACGCAGGCAAAGTTGTTGAACGAGGCTGGTATGCGCGGAACAAGCATATTTTCCCCGCGTCAAGGTGGGAGGTATATGATCCCGAGGTGGAGAAGGCCGGTGGATATGGGAGGTATAGCATTAAGGGGTAGGTTAAGAATATAGGGTACAGTGTGGTATGATAGATATGGGTGAAGCAGAGGTGGAATTCTGCGGATCCTGATAGAATCAAGTACTTACTTGAAGAGAAGGCATGAAATCTCGATGTTATCCATTCTGGTCGAATACTTCAAGGGCCAAACTTCTCATCCAGAGCGTCTTTTTAGCTTCCACTCTTCAACGCCAGGGGTTGATGATAACTCGGTAGGCTATAAAGGCTGATTATTTTCGAGCCCCTCCCAGTTTCACGGTCCTCGTTGGGTAGTACCTAAGTAAAATTGTATCAGGGACATCTTTCCAAATTTGTTCCAGGTTCCGAGTGTGACCTCATGATGATTGTGGATGAAAACGACAGCTGAGTGAAGTTGAGTGATGGAACAAAAAACCACGCTGCTATGCTGGGGTCAGTGCGTACACAGCGTCGCACAAACATCGGCCATACACACGAGTAGGAAGGATGACCGACGCGTTGCATTGAAGAATTGAAGAACAGCCAGACAATTATTCCAATTGGGATTTTTTCGGTGATGATTCAATGGAGGAAATAGACGCCCATTGAGCACACGCGTCACATCACTGTTCACATCTCACTCTTGACCACCGCACATTGCCTTGTCCCAAAGAACTAAAGCTTCGTTTGTTGTTACGTCAACGGATCATAGACTCTGAAACCTTGCGGCTTGAAGCCTCCTGATTCTTCACGAGTCTCAACCAGACACCGTCCGTGTCCTCAGCCTCAGCCTTGGCTTGCGCCTCGACGAGGTTTAGCGAGGCTTATGGTCATATCATCCCATGATATCTCAATGCTACCCGCGGATGACATACTAGGAAAATCAGGTACGCAAGCGCTTGCATTAACAGCTATTTCTAGTTTCGTCAACAATTCGTGTGTCCAGAACGCAACTATACGGGGAAACCTTTCGGTATTATTCAGAAATCCGAGGTGCTTCGAGGTATAAAATTTAATAAAGCCTATACATTTGAGTCAAGTGAGTTCTCATTTTTAGAACCCCTATTGCAAAGCTACTAAAAATATAAACAGGCATGTTCTTCGACCGGTATAGCTACCTATAAGTTCTATCTGTGGTTTTCTATCATCAGTTCTGGGCAATGGAAATGGAGACGTGACCGACTCTATGTCGCGATAAATTTCCGATGGGTACTGGCCAGGTTCCCCCTGACGTTCTGTCTGTTCTCATGAAGTCAGCCTCCCATAGCAAGAGTATTGCTTTTACAAGAACCTCCCGGAAAATGCACGGCTTAATACTTTCTCCTGCTTTCATCCTTGGCCCCGGAAAAAATCCGTGAGACGATGGCGTCCTTCGTTCAAACTGGTCTTATGGATACGCCAAACCTTTATAAAAGCGTCACCTAAAATTCAGCGTCCTCATCGGTTCACACTAATCGTCATTGGCACAAGAATGTTCCGCTCTTCGGCTCTGCTTTCCTTCGCTTTCTTCGCTGTAGCGTACGGTCAACAGGTTGGTACGCTTACAGCAGAAACTCATCCGCCATTGACCTGGGAGACATGTACTGCGTCTGGTTGCACAACTGAACAATCCACGGTTGTTATCGACGCAAACTGGCGTTACCTCCATATCGTCGGTGGTACAACCAACTGTTACGAGGGTGACACATGGGACTTTGATATCTGTACCAGTACGTGCAATTCCTAGTTCCCCTCCGCCCCACTCATCCTCTTTCTTGATAGGCCCAGAAGTTTGTGCGGCGAACTGTGCACTTGACGGAGCAGATTATGAATGTGTGTTTGAATAAGTCACTTATGCGTGCGAGCGTTTACTCATAAAATATCTGTAGCTACCTATGGTGTCACCACTAGTGGTGACCAGTTAACGCTCGGCTTTGTGACCGTCTCTGAGCAGGCGAACGTTGGTTCTCGTCTGTACTTGATGGCCCCTGGAAGCGAGACCGAGTACCAGCTTTTCCACATGGTCAACCAAGAGATCAGTTTCACCATAGATGTCTCCAACCTTCCTTGTGGTATCAACGGTGCCATTTACTTCAGTCAAATGGATGCCGATGGTGGAGTTGTAAGTTTGAACATCGGATGCCTAAAGTTAAATGTTTCTGATGCTGTTTACAGGGACGATTCCCAACCAACAAGGCCGGAGCTCAGTACGGAACTGGATACTGTGACTCTCAGTGTCCAAAGGACATCAAATTCATCGATGGAGTTGTACGTATCTTTTATCCAAATTTGTTTCAGGGTTTACATATTGAATAGGCTAACACTGTCGACTGGACTCCGTCCACTAACAACGTCAACACCGGAACCGGAAGCACAGGCAGTTGCTGCACTGAGATGGATGTTTGTCTACACAGTTCACAAGATAAAATGAAGTATACTCAATAATCTGTTTAGATCTGGGAAGCCAACTCGATGTCAGCTGCTTTCACCGCTCACGCTTGCTCTGTGACCGAGCAGACTTCATGTACTGGCACCTCCTGCTCTCTGCCAAACTCCACACAAGGTGTTTGTGACCAGGCTGGTTGTGACTTCAACTCTTTCCGTCTCGGTGACACCTCTTTCTTCGGCCCTGGGATGACTGTCGACACCACACAGCCCTTCACTGTTGTTACACAGTTTGTCTCTTCAAACAACGAGAGCACTGGTACCCTCTCTGCCATCCGACGAGTGTACGTTCAAAACGGAAATGTAAGTAACTCTTTACATAGTTTTCTCGCGTTCTTTGAGAACCGTTCGATGCACAGGTCATTCAAAACTCAGAGACCAACGTGGCCGGAATTACTGCTACCAACCAGATCGATGAGACCTTCTGTACTCAGG